GCTTCACTGAGTTACGCAAGCCCCTTCGCCACGACAAGGCAGTGATCCATGAAGGGGTAGCCTCACATGCTTCTGCTAGATCTCTTACTCTTGGCTAGTCCTTGGTGACTGGCAACTTTCCTAGAATTCCTCTGCTCTTACAAGCCGCTCTCCCGTTCCTTTCCTGGTCACGTTCTTCTACTTGTTGACTTCCTTGATTTTTTCTCTCCTCCTCGCTTCGTGTTGGAAATCTGCCTTCAGGAGTCTGTCTGCCCCCTGGTCATCCAGGACCAAACCGTTCCAGAGCAGACTCAGTTTCTGCGCGTGCGCCAGTGAAGCCACCTCTGCTGAGCGCAGAATAGCGCCTGGGTCCGTCCGTCCGTCCGTCTACAATGAAACAGCCCCTCTGGCCCAGAAGATCTGAAGCGGGTGTTTCGGTTTGGGCGCAGGCCCCTCAGCCGGGTGTTCTGTGCTGCGAGTCTTGGCGCGTCCCTGTTAGCCAGGCCATGCTTGGCTGGTTCACGGCAGCCATGGCAGAATGAGTTTCGGCCCCTCTGAATCCAGCCACTGGCACGGCGGGATACAGCAGCGTCAGAGGTGTCAGGGATGTGTAAGAACATAAGCAGAGACAAATTTGTCAAATTTCTAACCGGCTTTATCATCAAAAACAAACGGGGCTGGCATTAACGAACAACATGTCAGTTTAAAAGAATAAGGGCATATCGTTCCAAAATTGTAAACACCGACTTCCAGCTGGCTGGTTTTGTCCTCACCCCCAACCATTCGGTTCGGGCCCTGCTGAACGCGAGTGCCGCCTTGCACGCCCGCTGCTGCAACAACCAAGAGGCCTCCGTGACGGCTGCAGGGGCTCGACTGGCCCCGCAGCCCCCACAGGCAACGGCCCTGGTTTCTCTGCTGCCCTCACGGGAGCAGCCCAGGAAAGGCCAAAAGGCACCTGCAGTGGCTGGTCCCTAGGGAGGCTCCTGAGGCCACTGGGAGCGTGAGGGCCCAGCGTCCTGGGGGAGACGGCAGGGGGCCCGCAGGGCGCTTTCCTGGCTCCTCCAGCAGCCACCCCTCCCTCCCCCCTCATCTCTCAAGCAGGACGCAGAGGCCCTGAGGCTCATGCCAGGGAAGGCGGGGGGGCTGGGGGTGCTCTGGCCCTGGGAGTGCTCATCCCTGATCTGGTGACTTCTTACGCGGGCTCTGATGTGCTGTCCGTGGCTGGTTCTGCTCGGGACAAGGCCCAGGGGTGGGATACGGGGATGAGGGATGTGGGAGAGGGCCCCAAAGGCCTGTGGGGCTCGCGGGCATTGAGTGCCCCCTCCTGCAGGTGGGGGCCTCACCGGTTGGACAGCCTGCTCACGTTGCTTTTTCCTTCTGCAGAGGCGCTGACCACCCTTGTCCCCACAGCCCTCTTTTAAGCACCCGCAGCTGCAGCACCAACTGGGCAGGCAGTTCTGTCCCAGCACCAAGCCCGCCCCCAGCCCCTG